ACCTTACTATTGAAAAAAAAAAAAAAAAATCAGACCTGGGGAACTATTAGGGTTTTTAAACACACTAAATGTTACTTTTTATTTTATTTGGCTGATATAAGCAGGCTTTGTTAGAAAAAATTATATTATATCCATATATATTTTTCCTGTTCAAAAACAAAAGCATTTTATAGTTTGTTTTTAAAAGTTAATAAACATCTGATATAGGGCATCGGATATTGTTATTTTTTTAAATTTATTTAATTGATTCAGACAACAAGTACAGTTCAAGGTTCATGGTTAAGATTATAAAAAAATTAATTAAAAATTCTGTTTAATCTATACACAGCTGCATTGCTGCTTGCACAAGTAATTAACTAATTTATAAGGCTAAGACAGCTAAGGTAAACAGCGGAAAATTGCTTGACACAATCTTACATCTCTGTTTTGGGTTAAATACCATGAACACCACTTTTTTTATATTAAATGACATGTTAATAGCAGTGACTTTAACATTTAATGCAGTTAATTATTTTTGTAATGCAAACCAAGACTTTCTGCCATCATAGTTTGATTCTTATACCAAGATGCAAGTAGACAGACAACATTCTTGGCAATACCAATTAATATTAATTAATTTATAAATTAATTAATATTAATTAATTTATAAATTAATTAATATTAATTAATTTATAAATTAATTAATATTAATTAACTTATAAATTAATTAAAATTAATTAATTTATAAATTAATTAAAATTGGTGTTGCCAAGATTTAAATTAATATTAAATAATTTCCAATAATTAACGCTATCAAAAGCTTTGTTGAAATCTTAAAAGCATGTGAATACATTCCTTACAGATTTCAACATAACTACATATACCATGTATCAGGTTATAATAATCTTATACGAGGTATCAGATTATTATGTTTGGTTCAAGGATATCTTACCTTAATTTTAAAAACATCAAAATAAAATTAAAGTGTAGTAGTATATAGTAGTACTATTGGTTTAAGGTTAAGTTATTATATTTATGGTTTAAAATTAAATTATTATATATGTTTAAGATTTAGTTAAGCTAGTTATTTAATCCGCAACATATATAGGGCTAGGCTGTTTAATAGGATGTGTCATACTTTATGATTTTTTGAAAAAAAAGTTTTTCCTAAAACCCGGTACATAGTAAACTTGTGTACAACTATTTATATTAAAACCAAAAAAAATAAACTAAAAATAGTTTATGTTAAGCTACCTGGAATAGTGTTTTGAAATTACATAATCATGGTCAATTTTTCGTAATTAGCTTTGCCCCTAACGACAGATCTTATTTTGCGTCCACGAATTTTTATACGCAAGTAATTGTTCACACCCACTTACGTTGAATTTTTTAAACTTTTAAACTACTTTTTTTTTTTTGTCTTTTATCAAAGCTTTACAAATACGTGATCATAAATATAAACTAGTTCGTTTACATTGTAAAAAAAAAAAAATACCGTACATATAATAAGAAAACTTTTTTTAATACAAATAATAATATATATAAAAAAGTAACACTGTTAAAAGACGCGGGAAACTTGCAGAAGACCATTTTGGTCTTGTCATCAAGAAACCGCTTTTAGTTGCGATATTTTGTATACTTAATTTATTAAGAAATTTCAGTTTGTCAAAGTCTCATGGTGGCATAAGAGTCACACATAAAAAGCTACTAGATAATCAAAAACAAAAAACGGAAAAGAGCTGTATTTGATACACATAAATATATAGTTACATGGTTTGTTATACTTAGTATATTGACATGTACGAAATATAAATAAAATCTAACATTTACTTTGCTTTAAAGTGGATTTTTTAGGGGTTTTTAGTTATTTGTTTTAATATACGTTTGTAAAATTGTTTAAGTTTAGAACAAGTTTTTTTAAAAGTGTTTTCAGAGAATTATGGTTAAGTAGTTTTGTAATTATAGTATTTTTAGCTATTAGTTTGTTGTAGAGGTAAGGGCCGCGATAGGAGACGGAGAAACGTGATAGTTTTGTTTTTTTATATGGTACTTTAAAATTTCCTATTCCTCGAGTTTCATATTTATTTCTATTGCATATAAAAAAATCTTCTGAAAAATGTAATGGGACAAGTCCGAGTTTATATTTGAGCATGAATATCAAATTTTGGTAAATGTTAATTTTGTAGACATTTAGTGCATTTAGAAGCTTTAGCAAAGGTTCGGCATGAGTAAATTTATCTTTATTAAATACTATTCTTGCAGCATGTTTTTGATGTCGATAAAGTGCCACTAGGTTGGATCTATGTTGGATCTATTCTATTTGATATCAAAACTATATAAAGTTGCAAATTTATAAATAGTCGAACATATAATTTGTTTGTTAAATGTTAAAAAATATTATAAAAAATTTTAAAAATTCAAAAATTTACCCAAAAAGTTTGCAAATTATGAACTTTGCTATTTAATCATGGCAAAGTCAATATCTTCTAGAACTAGAAAAAGAAGCGGATCAAAGAATTCGTAATATGAAGGTTCTGGAACAGATGTTCTTGTACTGGAGATACCAACGCTAAGAGATCTTCTTAGATATAGTCTGTTTTTGCAAGAAAGAAACAATAGAAACAAAAGAAACTATCCAATAAAATCACTAATGAACATTGTTTACTCAAAGTTAATTGGTAAATATATCCACGCCAATGGTTTGTTTATATATCCTGTAACACATATTGAACATTATATTACTGCAACATTGGTGAATGAATGGAATGGTGCCGACCTGGTTGCTAGAGGAAAAGCAAGCTTAAAGAAAAAAGACTTTTTGCAAAACTTGACAAATTGTTTGATATACTTAATTGTAATTGTACTGTACGTGCAAAAAGAAAAAAAAGATTCCAAAGAAAAAGTTAGTTTTTATACTTACGCAAAAGGCTATAATAGGGACTACCAATCCGCATCAAATTAGATTAGCTGACTTGAAAGAAAACAAAAAGCTACATAAAATTGGAAAAAGTAGATTGAAGGAAGAAGTAGAATTTTTTTAATTAGTTTTGTTTTTAATTAGTAATTAGGTAATAAAGAAAAAATAATTAAACTCCAAAGTTAAATTAATTTTAGTTATATTACAAATATATTAATCTGTTTCAGTTTAAAAATAACAAAATCTAATTACACTCAAAATGAAATTTTTACATGCGACTATTTATACTTCACTGATATTAGGAAATGACAAATAAAAAATATATTCATAAAATTATTTTTACTTACAATATTTTACAAAACATCAATTAATGAAAATTCAATTACTTTATCCATAGCTAAAGCAAAAAGCGTCTGAAGAACTGCAACAAATAATTAAAAGACAGGAAGAAACGTTTGAATTTGAATTTAGCGAAACAGATGAACTATTTAAGTAATGAATGTTTCATAACAAACATCAATACTATACTCACTCTAATGTGTCGACAGAATGAAGATCAGGAACGTTTACGATGACAAAGGTATTATGAGAACAAGGTATTATGAAAGTATTTCCAACAAAGCGTTATCAAGCATACGGTATGGTACAGGCTTACGGGAAACAGCTGAAGTTGCAACGGCAGCTAGGATAGACACAGGAATAGTTACAAAAGATGATACCAAGTTAGTTATTGACATCAGCAAAGTCAAGAGAGCTCAAGAAAAAATTATGCTGTTTTTTTCTAGAGAGTTTGACACTCAATGCAGGTCTACCATGATTGGTTATATTTTTTTTTAAAGCAGAATTGATAATGCAAAAGTTCAATTAGTAGTCGAAGGTTTGTCTAAATGTTATCCTGCTACAATCAAAGAGGAACATTATACAGTATGTCAAGAGCCCGGTGATAGGTATCTTTTCCATTTCGCACCTGAAAAAGTTCAAAAACATATGAAACACGCTTAAGTAATTGCTAAGAATATATACGCATTTTTGAAAAGTAATGGTGCCGATAAAAGCTTAACAGCGATCAGTGGTGATTCTAATAGGGTCTATTTGAGTTTCTATTTTGGTCTCAAAACATGAGTTGGAAAGCGAAAATTTAAAAAACATTAAATTAATAATTGAAATCATTGTTGGAGTTTACATGCCTATGTGGTTCAAAATTAAAGTTGAGCACAAAAAAAATTACAATGGAAAAAATCAATTTTATTAAATAAAAAACTAAATCATAGAAAAATGACTATAAACGGATGTCCAGGTCTAAAATGAAAATAAAACATTATTTATACCTAATATAATTTTCTTAATGAAAAAATAAATATCTATATTTCAACATCAAAATTTTAAACCACATTTGTAATTATAATAATTAAAATAATTATAACATCAAAATTTTAAACCATATTTGTAATTATAATAATTTAAAATCACAAAAAATTGAGTAGTGTTTTAATTAGATGAAAGACGTTAATTATTGCGTATAAATTTACGCTATTTACACAGCTTTCTTTTATAACCTCATAAAGTCAGTTCAAAAAATACAATGCAGCTTGAACATCACTGCTCGCAACTTATCTTTTGGTATATTTATATTGACTCGGTGCTCAAATTACCCGAATCTACCCTATAGAAAAATTTTACTACATTCTTTCAAATAAAGTCAATAACAAACTTTTAACCTTAATATAGTAAAACATTTACATGTGATTTTTAAAAATGTGATTTACATAATTTTTAACTGCACTGTTAAAAAAAGCGCGTTTTTTACGGAAAAGTTCCGGCAGCTGCCAATGACCAAACTACCCGTTATTTTACGGAAAAACTCATCGCATGTAAACGGATGTTTCCGTTAACAAACGGATTTTTCCGTTAAAATGCAATAGGTTTTTTCCGTTCAACAACGGGTAGTTTTAGTGTATTATGAATATTTAGTAGTTTTCGTGTAATACGAGGTGGCTCAAACACGGTGTTAATTTTTGCTCAAAAATATCCTGATTGCCAGTTTGCGCATGTTTTTACACTTACAATTATAGTTAGTAGAAACCATGTAAAAATGACAATAAAATTATAATAGACTAATCAATATTGAAATTTTTTGTTCTTTTAATTTCATTGCAGGAAGGTAAGTCGTCAGGTACAGCCTGCCAATACCTAAAAAACAAAGGTTAAAAATTAATACTGTCCTATCAATTTATCATACATATTTTCATTTAATTTGTAAATTCTATTTCATAAATCGACACACACTGTAACTTGCATAGCTTAAACAGTAGGGTGTGTCATACTTTCCAGATTAAAAACCCTGTATTCTAAAAACTTGTACTTAAATATAATTTTACTAAAAAGAGCTTTAATTTAGTAATTCGAAGTGATTTAGCTACCGAAAGTCGACGTTTAGTATTCACTTGAATTCACGTAAAATTTCTTACTAGAATAGTAAGTTTTTGCTTGTGGTTACTTTTTTTTGTTGTTGGATTTATTAATCTAAATATATATATATATATATATATATATATATATATATATATATATATATATATATATATATATATATATATATATATATATATATATATATATATTATATATATATATATATATATATATATATATATATATATATATATATATATATATATATATATATATATATATATATATATATATATATATATATATATATATATAGACATATATATTAATATAGACATCAAACATAATAAAACATATCTCAAATTAAAAAGTTAGTTTACCTTTAAGAATCCTCATCATTGTCATTAAAACATTCTCAAAAAGAAAAGTTTTTATTTTATATGTAAATTACATATAAATTACATATTAATATTACATTGTAATAAAATATAATAAACGCTGTGGATAGAGTACCGAAAGTTTTAACTTTTAATTGCGCGTTTATTGGTTGCTAAAGATCACGTGTAAAAACAAATCTCATTTTTATATAGAGAGTTTATATAGAAACTTTCGGTACTCTATCCACGGCCTATAATAAAATCAGCTTATGTAAAGATGAAATATCCTCGCAGTCAGAAAGTCACATGGTTATGCAAAAAAACAATAGCGCAAGTTGTTACCATCTTGGATGGGGGAAAACAAATGATTAGTTGAGTTAATAAAGCAGGACAATTATTACGAAAAAGTGATAAAAGAGTTTTAAAAAAGAAATATCGGTTTACGAATACTTTGAATTATTAGATTTTAACGCCGCAAAAAGGTACATAATTAAATTTGCAATCCTTGAAATCAACCGATGTCTATACAAGTTCCTTGCAAATACTTGGAAAGATGATCAAACGGAATGGCCATGAGTTCAATACCATGACGTTTATAATTATTTATTAAAAAGTCTTTAAATATTTTCTTTTGAGGCTGTAGGTAATTATGAAGTTTTTCACAAGACATTAGGCTCTAGTTTTTTTTGTTTTAAAAGCACAAGTTGTCGGACTTGTGCGTTTAAAACCACAAAACCATCTTAGTCACCAGAGTTGATTAAAAATAACAAAACCATCTTACAAAACATATATATTAAAAATCACTTAAAGACACAACAACCCTTGCCATTGTTTTCGTTTCATAACGAAAGTTTATTTTCCCCCAACTAAAATGGTAGATGTTCGTGGCAAAGATTATGACGTATTTCCGACTCCGAGGATTGACAAACAAAATAAAAAATTAGAAGTAAAAAAATACCATAAAACTAACCAAAGAATTTTATCTAAATATAATTTTCACAAAAATATATTTACATTTCAATTAAATAATTATGAAATGTGCAGATAATTCAATCGTATGTATATTCAGAAGATAAATTTTCTTGGATATTTACAAATAGTAATAAAATAATAACTTTAAACACCATTTAAGTATACATTTAACATTATAAGTATACATTTATATATATATATATATATATATATATATATATATATATATATATATATATATATATATATATATATATATATATATATATATATATATATATATATATATATATATATATATATATGTAAACTAGAATTGGTTATATTTAAAAAACGCGCTAGCTAAAAAATCTAAAAAGTTTTTTTAATGTAACAAGTTTGTATGATAAAATTTTACTATAGCCTCCATGATATACCTTTTTTCCAACAAAAATATCCGTGTTTCAAAATTTATTTTAAAAGAAGGAAAACTTCCGTTCAATTTTGTTCAATGGATAGTTTCCTTACAAATAACAGAAAATAATTCCGTAAAAGTACGAGAAGTTTTAACAGTGTGAAGTGTCATATTTCGTATCATAAGTTTTTTTACCTTTAATGGTAAAAATATTTATCATAGTTTAATTAAAAATCAAACATACATTGTATTTTCGACAAATAAAAACATCTTAATAAACAAGGTTTTTCATTCAGATATTATAAACTTCCATTAATTCCATTATAGAAAATTCAAAACGTTTATTTCAAGTAAACTAATATGTTAAAATATGTGCGCATATAAATACTGCTATAATTTTTTTGTATAAATGTATGTATTTGTATGTGAAGATGTTTTTATAAGTAGTAACTTATATTTTGTGTGAGGTAAAATTATGTTTTTTTTTTCACAACTTTAATATAAATTCATAAATAATCGTATTAAAATAACAAGAATTTTTTGGCATGATTTACGTTTTAAATAAAAAATATAAAGTTTTTAGAATTCGTAGTAAAAGATAAAAAGTAATTAAAAAAAAAAAAAAATGTATTAAAAATGTTTTTTAACTCAAAATCTCAGTTTAAAATTAAAGTGCAAATTAAATATTTTTACTATACTTTAAAGTATTCTGTAGAGTAACAATAATTACTTGATGTTTTTCACAGGTACCCTGAAGGTGACCTAAGACCTTATATCGTATCCCATGAAACTTTTCTTTTGATTTTGAAAGAAGTCCACATTCCAAAACTATCAAAAGTTCGATTATTTTTTGTTAGCTTTTTGAGAAAACTAATTTATAAGACTTGTTTTAACCAGGGGCCAATGCTATAAACAAAAAAACGAAGTTTTTACCGTAAAACTCGAAATTTTTTGCGCACCACCCGGAGGTTTTGCGTAAACAGCAAAAAAAAAAAAAAAAAAAAGAAAGAAAGAACAATCAATTGTTATCAATTTATAACAATATTTATAGCAATGGATTGTTTTTTTTTGATTTTTACGCATAATCTCCGTGTGGTGCGCAAAAAATTTCGAGTTTTACGGTAAAAACTTCGTTTTTTTGTTTATAGTATTGGCCCTTGAGCTTAATGCCCCTCTGACTCACCCTAAGACCCTGCGAGTGGATCAAATAGTTGTATATAATATGTTTGTTTGTTTGACCTATTGGATTGATTCTTTGAGAAACATATATAGAAATAACTTCTGATAACAATTTGGGCTTTCTAGTTAGAACATAAGCTAATTTATCACTTTTTAAAAGTTAGCTATCTTTTCTCATCAACAGAGGGTAATACCGCCAAAACTAAAGTTTTGCGAACACTAGTGTACTTAAAATCTTTACATCCATACTCATCAGAATATTTCACTCTTTTTCTTTCACTTTAATGTGTTTCTAGCTCTGGCTATAATGCAATTGATAAGGTAATCTTTAGAGAGCCTTGCCCTCCATCTACTCCAATCTATGTAGTAAAACTGTTCAAACAAACTCATCAACATTTTTGCTTATTACACCAAATAGTATAATAGGAATAGTTCTTTCAATACACTAAATAATAACAAAACAACTTTAAGTCCGATGATAAAGATTTATTTAAAGCTATCAACTTTCAAAACAATCCAAAATATAAAATTATTACCGTAGTAGCAAACAATGTTGGCGTAATATTATTTTTAGCATGTAAAGTGTGTACACAATATCGCGCCAATGTTGTTTCCTGCTCAGAAATGTAGCATAAAATAATAATTTTGTTAACAATATAATTTTTATAGATCTTGTGGTTGTTTAGATTTTAGTGAAGTTAGTTAAAGTAAAACAATATATATATATATATATATATATATATATATATATATATATATAATATATATATATATATATATATATATATATATATATATATATATATATATATATATATATATATATATATATATATATATATATATATATATATATATATATATATATATGTATATCACTTTTACCATATATTAAGTAATACCACTTTTTTATTATCACTGGTATCTTGTTTAGACTGAATCTCAGCATCAAACAAAGACAATAGACTTTTGTTTTATTTTGTTAACTTTTTTAAAAAAAAAAAATTGACAGATTTTTTTTTTTCCTTTTACTCATATAAGTCGGGCAATTTCTAACATTTTATAATCACTAGTAAATTTGATACAAATGTTTAAAAAAAATAATTGTTTTTTTAAAATAGTTTATATATTTTGAATTTTGTAGTAGACAATCTATAGCCAATTTAAAATTTCCTCTATAGTAGTTTCAGTTTTGAGTGTGAAAAGTAAGTTTTTCTTGGTTAACTACTCCAATAGAAACAACAAGCCTCCGTGGGCCAAAATTGTTCAACGTTATTTTTGCGTCATGGGTTTCTAGATTGTAAATCGTAGTTGATAAAATTTTTCTTTTTGTTATAGGTGAGGTGGATTGTACAATGCGTCAATTTCCTTTGCTTAGCTTACATTGTGCAAGGATGTTTTCTTCTTTGCAGAAGAAAAAGTTTTCTTCAAAATCTTTTTCTTCTGCAAAGAAAAAGATTTTGATTGCTTGTGAAAAGATTCAAATCAGTGATTATGAACTATATTTGTACTAGTTTCACATGATATCATTAGTGGAAGATTTACTATTTCAGTACTAATTTTACGCTCATTAACACAAATGAAACACTCACATTTCCACCTAGAACAATTTTAGGATAAAGATCTAAAAGTAATAAGAAGTAAATGTTTTAGTGTAAATACAATTTTGTTTATAAGCACAACAAAAATAATGCAAAACATAATTCGTTTTTATTGGCTTATTTTTTATTAGCTTATTTTTTATAGGCTCACTTTTTTTATCAAACTTACTTTTGTACTTAGGTCGAGCGTTGAATAAAAATTGTTTTTTAATCTGTTTTTTCTAAACTCATTTTTTTTCTGCAATAGGAACATAATATATTAGGCAGATCAGGGTTTTCAACAGAGTAGTTTTCCCAAAAAAATCACTTATCAAGATTTTCATAATTTATTTCTTGTTTTGGTTTAATGCATGTGTAATGTTTAATGAACCTGGTTTTATGCATTTGGTTTAAATGCATATTAAATCATTAATTTTCTTTATACAGAATATGCAAAAGCATTTTAAAAACTCGTTTTGATCTTTAGCAAAAAATGACATATCTTTTCTGTTTTCGAGAAATGGTTCCTATATTTTTCAATCGGCTCTTAAATTAAAGTTAATATAAATGTCTTATTTAAATAGATAAATAAACTCGCTGTTATTTCTTAAATGTTGTTAAAGTCTTCTAAAACAAATAATAAGAAATAAGGTCTTAGGCCACCTTCAGGGTACCCTTTTTTTCAAATTGTTAAGCTCACAAAGTATGTTTAGTTTTGTTTACGAAACCTTTTTAAAATATATAAAATTATTAAAGTGTAACATAAAACTTTTTTCAAAAATAATTTCAAAACTAGTCTAATCTTTTTTATATAAAAATTTTTTTATTTTAATAATAACGCGCTGCATTTGAAAAAAAAGAGAAATGTTTAGGGGTCGTCGATAAAGTACGTAGGCCAAGAACTCTGATATTTAACACCCCTCCCCCCTTTTGCCGTACGTATTTTTAAGTCTCCATCCCCTTAAAAAGTACGAACGTTTTTCATGTACCCCTTCCCCTTAATAAAAAAAAAGTTGGAGAAGATACTCTAAATACTTTAAAATTATTTTGGGTACCTCCTACACCTTTTTTATTTCAATATATTTTTATTTAAAAACAAAAAATAGACGGGTGGTGAAAAACGTACATTACTTTAACGACCCCAAAGCGCCGTGTTAGCGGCAAGGGATTCCTATTGAAAAAAAAAATATCATTAAATGTATACAAATATAATTTTAAATAAAAATAAATCTTACAATATCAAAGAGATTGTGGGCCGAGTAGATAATGTTATGAAAAGTGACAGCGGAGATCCAAGTTCGAATCCAAGTAAAGTCCTATTTTACTGGGATTAGCCATTGCACAGATGAAACCTGTTTTTTGTTGAGTTAACAATCTATTATTGGCCCTGGATATACTCAGGGCCAGTATAAGGGGTGGCATAAGCGCTTGCAGGATTTTTTGATGTTCCAGATAGGACACTTTCATAAATTGTGCAAACTCCAAACTTAAGTATGTTTATACCTTATGAGGATACTTTGTAAAAAATTGGGATGGCAGAGTCCTGTCAACAAACTACCCTAAAAAGCTTGCCCCCGCTCAAACATGAGGGCACTTATGTAGTAAAATTTTAACATTAACGATCTAAAACTAAATTCAAATTTATTGACAGAATTTAAATTTCTTTAAAAAAAATTGTAAATTACAAAAGTTATGTATATGCAAAATGTATTGCCCCTCATTTATTTATTTTTTTGGGGGTCTGGGGTCGGAAAATTTACTTCATTAATGCCATCAAATTTGGGCAATTTTTTGTAGGGCCTCATCAAATGGTATAGGTATAATGTTAAGTTTGGAGTTTGCACAATGTGTGGAAGTGGTTTATCTGGAACATCAAAAACTCCTGCAAGCGCCAATGCATGTGAGTGCATAGAGAGAAACTATACCTTTTACTCCCTATACAATACATCTTTTTATGTAAGCAAACTAGAATCTTTAGTCAGAATTTTAACTTTTCTATTGACTAGCTGGTAGTTTGTGTATAATTAAAAAATTGAAGTACGTGCTTTTAAATTAATTATCGCCCCCCCCCCATAAGCATTAAGTACGCATTTTAAAGACCTTTCCCGTCCCCTCTATGAGCGTACGTACTTTATAGACAACCCCTTAGTAAGATATTGAAACATTTTACTTAACAAATAATATCAAATTTATTTTAATTATAATAACAACTTTTTATAATACATCTAACCCATACGTCTGTTTTTAGGTATTCAATCTTTTTCAGAAAATTTATTTTCACGCAAGAAACTACTTAGTGAAATTCAACATTTTTTTAAAAAAGATGCAAACAACTTAACTTTAGTATTATATGGAATGTCGGGTGTCGGAAAGACACATATTGCAAGAAAATTTTGTGAAATATCTTATAACTTATATAAAAATATTGTTTGGATTGATGCAGCATTTGGAATGTTACAAACCTCAATGAGGAACCAATGTCAAATATTAGGATTAGAGGTTCATGATTCGAAATGAGATTATTTTAATATAAAAGTGATTATTAAAAAAGTTCACAACTTTTTTAAAAATGAAAAGACTTTGTATATTTTTAACAATGTCGACGATGAAAGTGTTAAACATTTGTCAATGTACATTTCAAGAAAACCGAATTCATTCACGTTGATTACTTCCCAATGGAGAACATGGTCAAATAATATAAAAAAAGTGCAAGTTAATGTTTCTTTAATTTTATTTTTTACATAAGCGAACGCTTCTGAAGAAGCGTTTGCTTATGAAAAAATAAAATTAAAGAAAACAGCGACGAAAACATTACAAACTTAATTACAGAAATTGGTTATCATCTGTTTGCAATTAGTCAGGCAATAAAAAATATAAATATACATAAAATTTCGATTAAAAAATACATAGATCGATATAGATCGAAACCATCAGAAATATTAGACAATAATAACTTTCGAACCGAAGTAGAATCAAAGTCTGCAATAAACGTAATTAACTTAGTTTTAATAAAATTAGAAAAAACTAAACCTTTTCCATTTAAAATAATAAACTATTTATATAATTGCGACGTTAAAGTCATCAGTAAACAATTTATAACACTAATCTAAAATTAAATGAAAACAAACAATGAATCTTTAATAGATGAAGCAATTAGATTACTAATGAGTTATTCTTTACTAAACTGTTTTAATGATAAAAAATATACACGAGTTGAGACAGTTAGCATGTAAATGTTTTCAAAAGAGGAATTCAAATACAAATACATACCTTGATTTAATTGAAAGTTCTTTAAAAGTTGAATTGAATAAAGTAAATTATCACATGGATTTCGGAAATCATTTTATTTTTCATTTTATTTATATGTTTCGTACTAACGGAAATCAATTTTTCGAAGCCTTCCATCGTATGACGACTTCTATACAAAAGTTATTCATATGTAAAAGTTTATTTGAAGAAGCAATTGAAATATTAAAAGCTGTTCAAAGATTTAATACAGAAACTCATGGTAAAAATAACATATTCACGCTTGATACAAAGCATAATATTGCTAACTGTTTGAATAATATGGGAAAATATAACAAAGCTGTAGAAGTTTATTATTCTTTTCATAAAATAAAAAATGAAATGCTAGGTATTACCCATCCTTCTACAATAACAACAAAACATAATATCGCACTCTGTTTGAACAATATGGGAAAATTTAACGAAGCTTTGGAAATTTATTATTCTGTTAATAAAATAGAAAATGAAATTTTTAGTATCAACCATCCGTCTACTATGGCAACAAAACATAATATCGCATTCTGTTTGAACAATATTGGGAAATATAACGAAGCTTTAGAAATTTATTATTCTGTTGCTAAATTACAAACTGAAAGTTTTGGTATCAACCATCCAATTACAATGACAACAAAAAATAATATTGCAAGCAGTTTGTTCTTTATGGGAAATTATAACGAAGCTTTCGAAATTTATAATTTTGTTGATAAAAATCAAACTGAAATTCTAGGTATAAACCATTCAGACACAATGACAACAGTAGCCAGTGGATCTTCAGCTTATCAAGCTAGCTGTCCTCTCAGCCAAATCGCTATCTTTATCTTTGACAATATCGATAGCTTTTCGGTAATTTAAAAAAGCTAGCGATTCTCGCGGCCAAATCGCTGTCTTTATCGTAACAATTTTAGCTAGCTATTCGCTAGCCGATTTCTCACCGGGTAGTGTTGTGACCAAAACTAAAAATTGTAACTAACTAAATTAAAAAAACCGTACCTAAAATTAAAATTAAAACAACAGTAAAAGGTTTTATAATGGCATTTTTAAAAATGGTGCGATTCCTTTGATTAGCAAACCGACAAGAATTACTTAATCAAGTGCCTCTTTAATTGATAATATTTTAACCACTGATGTTTTTAACGAATCATTAAAAAAGGGCATAATTAAAAATGTTATATCTTATCATTTTCCTATTTTTTTTTTTTATAAATATAAATAATAAATAAGTTCCTAATGAAAAACGAGTTTTCAAAAAGCGAACTTTTACAAATGAAAACCTTAAATTTTTTAAGGAACAATTATCTCTAATTGATTGGAGCATTATTAACACCTCTGATAATACAAACTTAGTGTATAACTCTTTTTTTAAAACTTTCTATGATATTTACGACATTAATTTCCCTGAAGTTAATTTAAATCTTAAAGCTAAAAGTATTAAATCGCCTTGGATTACAAAGAGTTTGCGGAAGTCTTCAAAAATTAAACAAAAATTGTACATTAGTTACTTAAAATCTAAAACAAATGATAATAAAATTATGTAAAAAAATTACGATAAACGTTTTGAAAGCTTCAAAGAAAAAACAAAAAAAAAATTATTATTTAAGTTTACTAGATATATATAAATTAAATTTTAAACGCACTTGGTTTGTAATAAGAGAAATTACTGGCAGCAAAAAATGTACATCTCATTCTTTGCCAAACACGGTTAAACATAATAATGAATTTTTATATGATAAAAGACAAATTACGGAAGAATTTAATAAATATTTTGTGTCTGTAGAACCAAATCTGGCAAAAAGAATTCCTATCCCAGCAAACAAAAAGATATCTAAAATGCATCTAATATGCATCTAAAAACAGGTCTAAAAGATGTCTAAATTTAGGTCTAGAACGGGACATAAATAGACGTCTATCTTATAGACGTCTTTTAGATGCATTTTATTCGACACAAATAATTGCCTTAGATGCATAAAAGATGTGAAATATACATCTTACAGATGCATATTAGATGTATAAAATACGTCTCTTAAATAGATGTCTAAGGCACGTTTAAAAAAGATAGATAATAGATAATTTTTTAGCTAATAATAGCTCTTTTATGCATTTAATATACATCTAGTATACATCTTTAAATGTATATTTCACATCTTTTATGCATTTAAGGCATTTATTTGTGTCGAATAAAATGCATCTAAAAGACATCTATAAGATAGACATCTATTTATGTCCCGTTCACGACGTGAATTTAGACGTCTTTTAGACCAGTTTTTAGATGCATATTAGACGCATTTTAGATATCTTTTTGTTTGCTGGGACTTGTTTGATACAAAGGTGTTACAGCTGTTAAATTAGTCATAAAAAAGGATTAAATTAAATAAGTAAAGAAACATTTTAACTAACATTACTTAATTTTTATTTCACAAAAATATACATAAGAAACTATATTTCTGCATTGCCGTCAACATTTTCTTCCATGTCGCCGATATCTAAAATATACATTAATGACATTTAAATGACTTTAAAAGACATGTAGAATTCTGAATCTATTTTTATGAAATTTTATATATATATATATATATATATATATATATATATATATATATATATATATATATATATATATATATATATATATATATATATATACACATACAATATCGGACAAAACCAGTGCAACCAAATGATGCTAATTTAGTTTCTTTGTATAAAAGGGCTGCATTTTTTTTAATTTAGAGAAATAACTATGTAACTGTTTAGAGATTTAGAGACAACGTTCTTCAAATTTTATTCATCACAAAGTTCATTATTTGTACACGAAAATTAATAAATTAATCAAAAGAATTAAAAAAAGTTGATTTCCTTCTGCACAAAACAAGTGCAACTCCACAAAATGTTGACCAAGCTGTATTTTGCTATCAATATTTTGTGGTGAATCCTTTGTTGTCGATCACAGCCTTGCATCTTTAAGGCATAGATTCGATCAGGTGATCAATGAAACTTTGTGGAATCGCTGCCTAGGCCTTTTGGATTTGTTCAAACAGTTGATCCTTATTACAGACACATTCATGATTAACTCTGCGGTTAATAATCTCCCAAAGGTTCTCGATAGGGTTGAGATCCGGAGATTGAGGCGGCCAATCCATCACCGATAGATGGTTGTCTTGAAACCACTGCTCGACTACTTTTGCAGTGTGCTTGGGATCGTTGTCTTGCTGAAAAACCTATTTTATTGGTATATTAAAAAACTTCTGTGACGTTGACAAGGACCAGACTTGAGAAAATGAAACAAACCAAAAAAGTTGCACTTGTTTTGTATGCTGCAAAATGGCACTTGTCAACAAAATTCTGCCTGTGTGCTGTCACCTGTCAGCTGATTGCTCATATCATGGCATGCTATGACTCCAGACTCCTGAACTGTTTGCTGTGGTAGTATATAGTATAGTTCGTTTCATTTTTAAGACATATAAAATTAGGAACACTTTTTAGCATTGTTCGATGTTGGTTGCAAATGTTTTGTCCAATACTGTATATACACATTTATACATGTATATATATATATATATATATATATATATATATATATATATATATATATATATATATATATATATATATATATATATACATGTGATTATATATACATGTGTATATATATATATACATGTGTATATATATATATATATATAATATATATACAAGAAGATTTGTCTATTAAGATTGTTGTTTATTATTGTATCTCAACCAGATACAATAATAAACAACAATTTTTTTATGAAAAAACTAAAGGAACTTGTATTATGGATACAAAAATTCTAGCATGACACAAAAAAAGTCGAAGAATATCTTTTTAATACAGATATCAGTTTTGTAAATACTATTAAAACTAACCTCGTAAAACACTTCATATATTTACTATATTTTCTAAGCTTATCTTTTCCCCATTTCCTTTTCGATTAAATTTGGACTGTAACTGATTCGAAAATAACCTGATAAATATTTTAACAATAAACTGAAATATATTTATAAAGATTTTTATTTTAATATATGTAATAAATTAAAATATATTTTAATATATGAATGCTTAAAATTATGAAAAGTAAAAACATTAAATTTGAAAATAAAATGCTAAACAAGGTTTAGCATTACACTTACTTTAGCACACAAACAAACTTAAACACCTACAGTGAAGCTACCGAGTTTATCAAATTGTCATGTTAAAAGTAAATCCATAACAAATAACCGTCAAAATGAATTGCTTTTGGTCCCTTTTAATCATATTTCTAATAATTAATAAAAACATAATCATTTACCTTTTCATGATCAAAAAAACATGTTCTCTAGGCTTTCCACCACCAATCTTTTTCAAACTATCAAGCTGAAATAAATGTAATAAAAACTAGTGTAACTTAAATTTCTTTACAACATATTGAGTCTAACATAAGCTAGTTATTTTAGTTCATTTACAAATACTTTTCATTTAGATTCTAAACTAGTAAACCAAATTTAAACAAACTTATTAAAAATTAAGATAATTAGATTATACCAAATTAGTATACTCGGTTTTATCTTTTAGTTTATTATCCAGTGTAACCACTTCGTCCACTGATTCTAACAACTTCACCCCAGTAGCCTGAAACTTAATTTCTATAACTTCTTTTAAAAGAACTTTTATTTCTGCAAGCTTGTTGAGAATAACATTTTGCATCTCTATAAACAAGAATAAAAAGATTGATTAACATATTTAGCTCATAAAACCAAATAGCAAAAACAATGAAATAAGAACTTCAAAATTCAAATTATGCTTGAGCAACTTAAACTAAAATTCCAAAAATACATGTAAGTTTTTTTTATTACTCCATCGCAGAAGTTGCCATAATATTTTGGAAAACCTACTTTTTAAATCAGCTAAAACTTTATCCTGTAAAAGGTTACGATATTAAAGAATTTTGTTTAACTACTAAAGGTAAAATGCTACACCCATGATTTATCGGATCACAATATTATAAATAATCCATTTCTATTCTTTTATACCTATTTTTTTTTGTATTAAAATAATACAACTATTTTAATACAAAAACAAATTAATAAAAAAGATCACATTGTCTTTGACAATGTGAACTTTGTTTTGTTTTATTCTGTTCATCAATAAAACGTGGAGAAAAATTATTTTCTTCAATCTTTGAATCTGATAACAACTCTATTCAAAAGAAATAACGATAATTAGAACTATAAATAATCCCTCAACCATACCTGTTACTTAATTTAATCTTTTAACCAATTTTGTACTCTTTCAATTTCTGAATTTAAACAATTTCAGCATGCTTTCAATCAATTTTCAATTTTCATATCAAGTTGATTAAAGGATTATTTAATACAACAGAATGTTGTCAATCATTTAAATATACGTAACCAATTTAACAACATTACAAATAACAGGACACCCAAATAGTTAAAATAAAAGGAAAATCTTAGTAATACATAAAAAAGACTAATAGCTAGATAGATATTATTCAGATCAAATTAAACAAGAATCTATTTCAGCTTATAAACCATTAAAAAAAAAAATGATATTTGTGTTATACTTTTAGCGTTGGGCTTATTCATAATAGGTGGCGGAGGTTCTGGCAATGAAGAGCGGTATGATTTGTTATTCTTATTTTTAAGCTTTCTTTAACATATATTTCATCTGATGTAGAAAGTTGTATTCTTCACAACATGAAAATGAATCTAATTATAAAACATTTTGCTACAAAAAAGTAATTAAGTTACCTTTAAAAAAAACACAAAACAAGTTAGATACTGACTATCTGTTACCTTATACTTTATCAATGGAAATTTGTGCCATTCTTTTGTTGACAAAAGGTTGTTTTTCAGTGCATGATTATAGTTATTTTTTGAGACAATAAATTTGTTACTATTTTATGTCAATCCACTTGTTTAGTGCATAATTACTTGGTTAGAAAAACATGCAGTTAAACTTTTTTTAAAGTTGGGTTATGCTTATACTCATTAGGCTTTTGGTCATAAGAGTATTCATTGTACAAAATCGATGACTCATAATGGTCAAAATATTCTTTTAGATTTTCGAAAAATAAGAAATCATTTCTTTTAGAAGTTCCAACATTCGATTTTTTTTCTATATGTATTGATGAAAATTCTAGTATTTTTTAATATTCTTTTTGGACACATCTACTGCGTCTCTTTTCATCATATATATATATATATATATATATATATATATATATATATATATATATATATATATATATATATATATATATATATATATATATATATATATATATTCATATATATATATATATATATATATATATATATATATATATATATATATAATATATATATATATATATACATATAGTCTTCCATAGGTTAAAATCTACATGCTTTTTTCGAAATAAGTATCCGCAGGGTTTTTAAATGGTGGTCATTTATAATTATCGCTCCATAAAGTTAATTAAAATTTTTTTCTTGTTTTTATAACAAAT